GGAGAGACTGGAAGTGCCAGGTGAGGGCGGGCGAGACGAGCTCTCACTAGCGGAAGTAAATAGCTCTGCGGCTGATGGGCCGAGTGGCGCCACCTACTGGATTTGGGCCTGTACAGCGCCATTCCCGGGTTGTTTTATCGTACCTACATCCAGTATTTGCAGGGGACAGGGTTCACAGCTATGACGTCCTTTAAAAGCTGTACAGAGGGGGGAAAAAAAGCTTTGACAAAGACATAAGTAACTAATATATTTATGCATGATGCGCCGTGCAATAATTAGCCTTCAGAAAGCAACCAGTGTTGACGTTTACAGTAGGTTATCAAAGGCAGTATACATACATCGCACCAACCTGCATGTATAGAACAGTATTTTCATGCTCTTATACTTTTTCTCCACCCTTCTCTTTCTGAATCACTGACCTCTTCACCTCTCTCTTTCTCTCTCTCTCTCTCGCAGGACACGCGTGGGAGAGGCCGAGGGGGACCGGGAGGAAGACGTCCCTTTCCAAAGAAAGGCGCCAACCAACCCGCCGCCCCCGCCCCCCGAGGAAGAGGAGGACGAGCTGGTGAGGAAGGGGGTGATGGTCCCCGGGCTGTGGAGGGTAGCCGCAGGGGTTTGGGGGTGTTTGAAAGGATCATGTGTTGGACTGGAGCAGTGATCTGAAGCTGGATGGATGCTTGTAGGCCTCTCTCCTCTTGGTTTATTCAGAATATTCCAGTACAGATCAGTGGGCAGAAAGAGGCTTATTTCCTTCAAGGGGGGAACTGCAGCACTATTTTTATATTTCAGGGTTAGGAGGAATTGGCATTGATGAGTGCATTTCAAACCCCAGTGAAAGTAAAATGCATGCGGTAACTTATAAAACCTCCAATTTACATCACAAAAGAGATTTAAATTTCCAGATGGGCGCAGCGCCATGTTCTGCGATTCAGAACGGGGCAACAAAACTTCCGGTGAGGCGACGCGGCAACTGTGACACTGTAAACAAGCAGGCTTGCGCATACAGCTCTTTTAGAAAAGAAGCATTGCTCTCAACGTCAAGACGGTTTTGCTTATAAAAGCCGCTAACTTGTTAACTCGGGCTGCAGATCAGGTTGGAAACGTTCTGCAGTGGAATGTCGGTGCCGCAACCTGCACTTATTCGCTCGTACATCGCAGGGCAGTAGTTAGTTTGGCGACTAGTGAGCAGGAAGGGCCAGCTCACTTGGCGATTCTCGCAAACTCTTGCTCCCACCCGTGGGCAAGAGCAGGGGTTTTGTGACCACACGGCGATTTCCAGTGCTGTCGCCTAGTTCAGGATTTTGTGCCTCATTCGAGGTTGGTAAAATTTTGCGACATCGGCGTTTTATGACGAACAGCCCGAGAAATTGGGACTGCAGTTCCCCTTTTAAATGAAGAGAATCTTTTTTCTTTTATATAAAGCTGTCCGTAGGGAAGCCTGTTGGCGCCGCAGAGGAAAGAAAAATTGCCATTTAAACCAGATGCTTATTAAACGTGATCA